TTCAGGTTCCCCCCCCAAGACGGCCCAAGAGCACTCCAAGAGAGCCCACGACCGCCCAAGACGGCCCAAGAGGCCCCCAAGAGGTCCCCAAGAGGCGCCCAAGGGGCGTTCCAAGAGGGCCCCAAGAGGCCGAAATCATCAATTTTCCAAAAAAAGGACAGCGTACATTTTTAGCATATGCGCTTTGTCGGCTTTCACGGCGTTGACGACGGCCCAAGAGGCCCCCAAGACCGCCCCAAGACGGCCCAAGAGGCTCCCAAGAGGCCCCCAAAACGGCCCAAGAGAGCCCCAAGACGGCCCAAGAGGCGCTCAAGACGGCCCAAGAGGGCGCCAAGACGGCCCCAAGAGGGGGACCACGAACCGAAAAGTCTAGCCTTTCGCCCCAAGAAGCTCCCAGGAGGCCCCCAGAGCCCCCCAAAAAGCCCCAAGAGGCCCCCAAGAGGCGTCCCAAGAGGCCACCGGTAGGCGCCTATGGGACAAGGTACATTTTTAGCATACAAGGCTTTTCGGCTTTCACTGCGTTGAAGACGCTCCAAGAGGCCCCCAAGACCGCCCCAAGACGGCCCAAGATGCTCCCAAGAGGGCGCCAAGACGGCCCAAGAGGGCGCCAAGACGACCCAAGAGGCGCCCAAGATTGCCCAAGAGGGCCCCAAGACGGCCCCGAGAGGGGGACCACGAACCGAAAAGTCTAGCCTTTCGCCCCAAGAAGCTCCCAGGAGGCCCCCAGAGCCCCCCAAGAAACCCCAAGAGGCCCCCAAGAGGTTCCCACGAGGCCTCCAAAAGGGCCCGACAAGGGCCCCAATAGGACTCCCAAGAAGGCCCAGAGACTCCAAATAGAGAGCGATCGGTAACGCAAAAAGCTCTTCACACCAAGGCTCCCAAGAGCGAACGGTGACGTAAACAAGCTGATAAGACCAAGGCTCCCAGCAGAGAGCGGTGACGTAACAAGTTCCTGACACCAAGGCCCGGCCAAGGCTCAGGAACGGGCGGCAACGCAACAATCTCTGAACACCAAGGCTCCCAAGAGCGGGGGGTGACGTAACAAGCTCTCAACGCCAAGGCTCCCAATACGAACGGTGGTGTGAGTAATTTCGGTTTCTGTTTCTGAAGCGCTCTTTCCGTTTCTGTGCCGGGCCAGGCAACGGAAAGAGCGAGGTACGAGTGATGACGTTCTGGTGTGGGCGAAGCCCTAAAGGGAGGGGTTCCAGGGGAGGGGGGTAGGGTGCACAACTGCGGTCTAATTGCCGTTATCGGGTTTTTCCTAGGGTTTTTGTATGTTTTTTGGGTTCTCCCCTTTTCAATCCCAGAAGGGCCCCAGACGACCCAAGAGGCCCCAAAGATCGGCCCAAGAGGCTTCCGAGACGCCCCGAGAGGCGCTCCAAGAGGCTCCCAAGAGGCCCCCAAAACGGCCCAAGAGGGCGCCAAGACGGCCCAAGAGGCGCCCAAGACGGCCCAAGAGGGCGCCAAGACGGCCCCGAGAGGGGGACCACGAACCGAAAAGTCTAGCCTTTCGCCCCAAGAAGCTCCCAGGAAGTCCCAGAGCCCCCAAGAAGCCCCAAGAGGCCCCCAAGAGGTTCCCAAGAGGCCTCCAAAAGGGCCCGACAAGGGCCCCAATAGGACTCCCAAGAAGGCCCAGAGACGCCAAATACAGAGCGATCGGTAACGCAAAAAGCTCTTCACACCAAGGCTCCCAAGAGCGAACGGTGACGCAAACAAGCTGATAAGACCAAGGCTCCCAGCAGAGAGCGGTGACGTAACAATTTCCTGACACCAAGGCCCAGCCAAGGCTCAGGAACGGGCGGCAACGCAACAATCTCTGAACACCAAGGCTCCCAAGAGCGAGGGGTGACGTAACAAGCTCTCGACGCCAAGGCTCCCAATACGAACCGTGGTGCGAATAATTTCGGTTTCTCTTTCTGAAGCGCTCTTTCCGTTTCTGTGCCGGGCCGGGTAACGGAAAGAGCGAGGTACGAGTGATGACGTTCTGGTGTGGGCGAAGCTCTAAAGGGAGGGGTTCCAGGGGAGGGGGGTAGCGGGCGCATTTGCGTGTTAATGGCCGTTATCGGGTTTTCCCTAGGGTTTTTGCATGTTTTTCGGGTTCCCCCCCAAGACGGCCCGAGAGCGCTCCAAGAGAGCCCAAGACCGCCCAAGACGGCCCAAGAGGCCCCCAAGAGGCCCCCAAGAGGCGCCCAAGGGGCGTCCCAAGAGGGCCCCAAGAGGCCGAAATCATCGATTTTCCAAAAAGGACAGCGTACATTTTTAGCATGTGCGCTTTGTCGGCTTTCACGGCGTTCACGACGGCCCAAGAGGCCCCCAAGACCGCCCCAAGACGGCCCAAGAGGCTCCCAAGAGGCCCCCAAAACGGCCCAAGAGGGCGCCAAGTCGGCCCAAGAGGCGCTCAAGACGGCCCAAGAGGGCCCCAAGACGGCCCCAAGAGGGGGACCACGAACCGAAAAGTCGAGCCTGTCGCCCCAAGAAGCTCCCAGGAGGCTCCCAGAGCCCCTCAAGAAGCCCCAAGAGGCCCCCAAGAGGCGTCCCAAGATGCCACCGGGAGGCGAAAATCATTGATTTCCTATGGGAAAAGGTACATTTTTAGCATAAGGCTTTTCAGCTTTCACTGCGTTGAAGACGCTCCAAGAGACCCCCAAGACCGCCCCAAGACGGCCCAAGATGCTCCCAAGAGGCCCCCAAAACGGCCCAAGAGGGCGCCAAGACGGCCCAAGAGGCGCCCAAGACGGCCCAAGAGGGCCCCAAGACGGCCCCAAGAGGGGGACCACGAACCGAAAAGTCTAGCCTTTCGCCCCAAAAAGCTCCCAGGAAGTCCCAGAGCCCCCCAAGAAGCCCCAAGAGGCCCCCAAGAGGTTCCCGAGAGGCCTCCAAAAGGGCCCGACAAGGGCCCCAATAGGACTCCCAAGAAGGCCCAGACACGCCAAATAGAGAGCGATCGGTAACGCAAAAAGCTCTTCACACCAAGGCTCCCAAGAGCGAACGGTGACGTAAACAAGCTGATAAGACCAAGGCTCCCAGCAGAGAGCGGTGACGTAACAAGTTCCTGACACCAAGGCCCAGCCAAGGCTCAGGAACGGGCGGCAACGCAACAATCTCTGAACACCAAGGCTCCCAAGAGCGAGGGGTGACGTAACAAGCTCTCAACGCCAAGGCTCCCAGTACGAACGGTGGTGTGAGTAATTTCGGTTTCTGTTTCTGAAGCGCTCTTTCCGTTTCTGTGCCGGGCCAGGTAACGGAAAGAGCGAGGTACGAGTGATGACGTTCTGGTGTGGGCGAAGCCCTAAAGGGAGGGGTTCCAGGGGAGGGGGGTAGCGTGCACATTTGTGTGTTAATGGCCGTTTTCGGGTTTTCCTTAGGATTTTTGCATGTTTTTCGGGTTCCCCTCAAGACGGCCCAAGAGCGCACCAAGAGAGCCCAAGACCGCCCAAGACGGCCCAAGAGGCCCCCAAGAGGCCCCCAAGAGGCGCCCAAGGGGCGTCCCAAGAGGGCCCCAAGAGGCCGAAATCATCGACGTTCCAAAAAGGACAGCGTACATTTTTAGCATGTGCGCTTTGTCGGCTTTCACGGCGTTGACGACGGCCCAAGAAGCCCCCAAGACCGCCCCAAGACGGCCCAAGAGGCTCCCAAGAGGCCCCCAAAACGGCCCAAGAGGGCGCCAAGTCGGCCCAAGAGGCGCTCAAGACGGCCCAAGAGGGCCCCAAGACGGCCCCAAGAGGGGGACCACGAAACGAAAAGTCGAGCCTGTCGCCCCAAGACGCTCCCAGGAGGCCCCCAGAGCCCCCCAAGAAGCCCCAAGAGGCCCCCAAGAGGCGTCCCAAGAGGCCACCAGGAGGCGAAAATCATTGATTTCCTATTGGAATATATATATATATATATTGAACATAAGGCTTTTCGGCTTTCACTGCGTTGAAGACGCTCCAAGAGGCCCCCAAGACCGCCCCAAGACGGCCCAAGAGGCTCCCAAGAGGCCCCCAAAACGGCCCAAGAGGGCGCCAAGACGGCCCAAGAGACGCCCAAGACGGCCCAAGAGGGCCCCAAGACGGCCCCAAGAAGGGGGACCACGAACCGAAAAGTCTAGCCTTTCGCCCCAAGAAGCTCCCAGGAGGCCCCCAGAGCCCCCCAAGAAGCCCCAAGAGGCCCTCTTGGGAACTTCGTCGGGGCTCTCCTAGACTGTTGTGGGGGGCGGACGGGGGGGGCGATCTTGTGGTCGGGGTCCCAGCCCAGTTGCCCCGACATTCCATACTGTGGTCGAGGCACCAACCTAGGGGCCCTGGGCGCCGTTAGATGTATACGACCTGCATGCCCGTTACTACCGCATTGCGTGTTCCGCGAGGCCGCCCCGGTCTCGCACGGACGCGCGTGCGGAGTGCGCCGGCTGCGCTGCGGCGCCAAAGAAATCCGCCAGGTCCTATTCCGAGTTGGCGATGGCATCGATGCCCTCCCCCTCCTCCCCCTCCTCCTCCTCCTCCTCCTCCTCCTCCTCTCCTCCTCCTCCTCCTCCTCCTCCTCCTCCTCCTCTCCTCCTCCTCCTCCTCCTACTCCTCCCCCTCCTCCTCCTCCCTGTCCTCCTCCTCCTCACCTCCTCCTCCTCCTCCCTCCTCCTCCTCCTCCGCCTTCTGCTCCTCCTCCTCCTCCTCCTCCTCCTCCTCCTCCTCCTCCGCCTCCTCCTCCTCCCCTCCTCCTCCTCCTCCCTCCCTCCTCCTCCTCCTCCTCCTCCTCCGCCTCCTCCTCCTCCTCCCTCCCTTTCCCTCCTCCTCCTCCTCCCCTCCTCCTCCTCCTCCTCTCCTCCTCCTCCTCCTCCTCCTCCTCCTCCCTCTCCTCCTCCTCCTCCTCCCTCCTCCTCCTCCCTCCTCCTCCTCCTCCTCCTCCTCCTCCTCTCCTCCTCCTCCTCCTTCCTCCTCCTCCCCTCCTCCTCTCCTCCTCCTCCTCCTCCTCCTCCTCCTCCCTCTCCTCCTCCTCCTCCTCCTCCTCCTCCTGGGCCCGAGGTCGGCCTCTCGACGGCATGCGGGCTGCAATGCGTCCAGGCGCCGCGGATGGACTGCTGCCCGCACCCGTGCTTCGTCCTGCACCTGCGGGGGGCGCGCCGCGCCGCGCCGCGGGGTGCCAGGCGAGGCGGGGCACCGCGTGCTGCTGCGCGACGGAGGGGGCTGTGTGCCAGGAGGAGGAGGAGGAGAGGGAGGAGGAGGAGGAGGAGAGGAGGAGAGGAGGAGGAGCGGAGGAGGAGGAGGAGGAGGCGGAGGGGAGGAGGAGAGAGGAGGAGGAGGAGGAGGAGGAGGAGGAGGAGGAGGAGGGGGAGGAGGGGAGGAGGAGGAGGAGAGGGCAGAGGGGAGGAGGAGGAGGAGGAGGAGGAGAGGAGGAGGAGGAGGAGGAGGAGGAGGAAGGAGGAGGAGAGGAGGAGGAGGAGGGGGAGGAGGAGGAGGAAGCACTGTCCGTGGCGCAATCCGTCGCTGGGTCGGTGTTGTCTGCTCCTGCCCCGTCGGCTGTGCAGGCCGGGGCGCACGAGCGGTGCTGCCGTGGCGGAAGCAGTGCGCCGGGCGAGGGGCGAGAGAGAGCTGCGCCTGGCGGGGGGCGGGGCGGGGCGAGGGGGGAAAGAGACCTCGGCACGAACTGGGACCTCGAGAGCTGCGACGATGCGCTGCTGCAGTGCTGGCGCTCGTTGCCGCGCCTCGGCCTCCGGGGAGGGGGGGGGGGGGGGGCGACGCTTGGCCCCGGGGCCATCAGCAGCGGGTCTGGGGCGAGGGGCCATCATCAGCGGGGGGCTGCCCCCGGGAGAAGGGTCCGAAGTCCTGGGGCCGCGGATGGGACAGAGCAGAGCGTCGGACGTCCGCGAACGGGCCTGGGGAACGGGGCAGCGGTGCCACCGCCACGGGCGCACGGGCAGGGGGCCACATCCTTGTTCCTTATTAAAATATACCCCCACCTGCGTCGTATTCCGGCCGATAGCGACCCAATCCGGGACCTCCCATCCGGACTGTTAAAAAACAAAACAAAGTGGCCGTTTTTCTTCTCAACATCGTCTTTCTTGTCGTCGACGATGCGAAAAACGTGGCAGGAATGGGACGCGGCGCACATCGCGCGCGGCAGTCAATCTGGGCCCGCCCACCCTGACTGCAAACAATCAATACAAAGTCTTCGTTTTTTCCTCTCAGCATGGCCTGCCTTGTCGCCGACGGTGCGAAATATGTGGCAGGAATGGGACGCGGCGCACATCGCGCGCGGACGTGCATGCGGGCTGCGGGCCCTCGCATCCTGACTAGTGCTACCAGTACCATTGGTACTACTACGACTACTACTACTACTACTACTACTACTACTACTACTACTACTACTACTACTACTACTACTACTACTACTACTACTACTACTACTAGTACTACTACTACTACTACTACTACTACTACTACTACTACTACTACTACTACTATTCCTGCTACTACTTGGTCTGCAAATTGTACTACCAATGACATTACTACTAGTCTAGCAGTCGTACAGGTATTACTGGCACTTCTACTTCCATAGTGCTACTACTCTGTACTACTACTTGTACGAGTACTTGAACTACCTGTGGCACTTCTGCTTATACTACTCGTATTATAACTCGTACTACTAGTACTACTACCTATTCGTATCCCCACTCTACTACTACTACTACTACTACTGCTACTACTACTTCTACTTCTACTTCTACTACTACTACTACTACTACTACTACTACTACTACTTCCACTACTACTTCCACTACCACTACTAGTACTACTACTACGACGACTACTACTACTACTACTACGGCTACTACTACTACTACAATCAGTTACTACAGCAACAACAACTACTACTACTACCACTCACACGACTACTACTACTACTACTACTACTCCTACTACTACTACTACTACTACTACTTCTACTACTACTACTACTGCTACTACTACTACTACTACTGCTACTACTACTACTACTACTTCTACTACTACTACTACTACTAATACTACTACTACTACTACGACGACTACTACTAACTACTACTACCTACTACTACTACTACTACTACTACTACTACTACTACTACTACTACTACTACTACTACTACTACCACTACCACTACTACTACTACTACACTACGACTACTACTACTACTACTACTACTACTACTACTACTACTACGACTACTACTACTACTACTACTACTACTACTACTACTACTACTACTACTACTACTACTACTACTACTACCACTACGCGCCAGCACCCAGCTGCGCCAGCATTGTTTCTTATGTTGTGGGAGGGCGGAACGTGTCCGTTGTTCCTTTCAACATGGCCAGTCTTGTCGTCGACGATGCGAAATGCGTGGCGGGAATGGGACGCGGCGCACATCCCGCGCGGACGTCAATGCGGTGTCCTGGGGTATCCTCCACTCGCACTGAAATGCCCGCGCAGCCCCCAGTTGTGCCATCACTGTTTCTTATGTTGTGGGAGGGCGGGTGGGAATGGGCATGCCATGCTTGACTCGCTCGAGCTGGCTAGCTTGATGCAAACCCTACCCCTACCTCCCACGATTTCTGGGGGGAGGGTGGGGTACACTTCGTTCGGGAGCTCCCAAACGAAGTGAACCCCACCCTCCCCCTCAGAAATCGTGGGGGGTAGGGGTAGGGTTCGCATGTGGCGCCCTAACGGGATCCAGACGGGGCCCTTCTGGTGATGTGGCCGCCCCTTCCCCGCTCGAGGCATCCCCCATCCCCAGCTCGGGGAGGCACGTGGGGGCTCCTCGCTGCAGGCGGCACGCACCGTGGTGGTGTCGGCGGCTTCCAGGGAAAGCGGGGCGGGCCCTGGGCGTCTGCTCCAGGAGATCCGACGTCGTGTTTTTTTCAATACGGCGTCCCCGGAAGTCTCGACCCATTCCCCAAGACCGGTTTTTCATCCTAGGATGAAAAACCGGGACCGTCAAAAAACGACTAAGCTGAGTCGTTTTTTGACGGTCCCGGGGCCCGGCGAGGGCCCCCAGAGGCCAAAAACTGCGAGAAACCTCCGCCTTGATTTTTTCAGTGCGTTGGATCTCCAGGCTCCCCGGTCCAGGGAGATCGACATGGAGGCCCTCCGCGGGGCCTGGGCCGCTCGCAGGGCGAATCGGGCTGCAGAGCCGGTCCTGGGGAAGGCCTCGGGGAGGAGGGGGGAGGAGGAGGAGGAGGAGGAGGAGGAGGAGGAGGAGGAGGAGGAGGAGGAGGAGGAGGAGGAGGAGGAGGAGGAGGAGGAGGAGGAGGAGGGAGGAGGGAGGAGGGAGGAGGAGGAGGAGGAGGAGGAAGGAGGAGGAGGTCCATCGGAGGAGGGCCAGCTGAGACCACGGCGGCCCTCCCGCCTGGCCCCGGTCCGCGCAGCAGTTGTCACCAGTCACTGACGCGTGTTCAGAGTTGGAGGCCTGGAAATTGGCACCAACACCAGCACAGGGAGGTGCCTCCACATGGGGAAGATGACCCTAGATTTCGGTGTTGGTGGTAATATCTCGGTCACCCTGGAAGCCAGAATACTACCACCACCACCGAGATCGGGATCGTCTTCCCTCGGTGGAAGCACACCGCCGATCTTGGTGTTGGTGTCGATCTCTAGGCCTGCGACAGAGGCTGAGGAGGAGGAGGAGGAGGAGGAGGAGGTCCATCGGAGGAGGGCCAGCTGAGACCACGGCGGCCCTCCCGCCTGGCCCCGGTCCGCGCAGCAGTTGTCATCAGCCCATCGACGCGTGTGCAGAGGCTTCTCCAGCCGTGGCGGCGAGAGGCCCCCCGGGAGGCCCACCGCGGGAGGCGAGGCACGCCGGGGGGGAGGGCCGCCGCTGCCTCGACTCGGCACTCCTCCGCGTGCCCCTCGGGAGCCCCCGTTTCCCTTTCATGCCGAGGATCCATCGGCGATCGGCGGCCCTATGAAGGTCCCGACCGCTTGGCGATCGGCGGCCCTATGAAGGTCCATCGGCGATCGGCGATCGGGAGCCCCCTTGTCCCTTCATGCCGAAACATCCGACGATGCGTTTCGTTTCCCCATCGGCGGCCCCATGGAGGTCCCGACCGCTTCCTCTGCATCGCCCTGGATCCACCTCTGATGCTCTCGAGGGCGTCCAGCAGGAAGCGTCCAAGACGGGGGTTCACACGTCATGGCCGGAGGCACGCACGCGAACGAGGGGGGGACCAAAGGACGCGTTGAAAAAAGAGGATGGGGGGCCGTGAGATCCGGGGAGGTGCCATGGCCCCCGCCATAAGAATCACCCCTCCCTTCGTCATCACCCCCCTCGTGGACCCCCCCGAGGGGCCTGATCGCGACAACGCACGCCTGGGATCGAGGAAAACCGCCGGGATTGAGGAGACGCTGCCAGGGACGCCAGCCACGCCGAATGAGGAGGAGGAGGCGGAGGAGGCGGAGGAGGCGGAGGAGGAGTAGGGAGGAGGGAGGATGAGGAAGGAGAGAGGGAGGGAGGGAGGGAGGGAGGAAGGAGAAGGAGGAGGAGGAGGAGGAGGAGGAGGAGGAGGAGGAGGAGGAGGATCCGCTGCCGCTGAGATCGTCGGAGATCTCGGGGGCAGGGCCTCCCTGCGGTCGCTGGCCTGCGCGGTGGGCTGCGCTCGCTCGGGGGGGGCATCGGGCAGAAGCTTCAGTCCGCCGCAGCAGGCGGGAGCAGGGGGCAAGGGGGAGAGAAAGCATACTCGTTCTCTCCATCCCTCCTCCTCCCTATCCCTCCGTCACCCTCCCCCGTATGTCACTCCCTCCCTCTCCATCCTGCTTTTTCCCCCTCCCCACTTCCTACACTCTGTCTAGCTCTGTCTCTGTCTCTGCATCTCTCACTTACACTCTGTAACTCTCTGTCTCTCTGTTTTTCTGCCTCTGTCTTTCTCTCCCTCTCTCCCTCTGTTGTTTTTGTTTTTTTCCCTCTCTCCCTCCTTTCTCTGCCTCTCGTTTTTTTGTTTTTCTCTCTCTCTCTCTCTCTCTCCCTCTCCCTACTCTTCCCCCTTCTCGCCCTGACTCCTCCCTCCGTCCCTGACTCCCTGACGCCCTCCCGCCCTCCCGCCCTCCCCCCTCCCTCCCTCACTCATCCTCCGCCCTCTTTCCTTCCTCGCTCCATTCCCTTCTCTCGCCTCCTCCCCTCCTCGCCCCTGCCCCCGTGAAGTGAGGGTTTCGCGCCCAGCCGCCCCCGAGGCGCCAGGGCAGGTCGCTGTCGGAGAACGCGTTCAGGTGGTAGCCGCAGTAGCCGTGCGTCGCCTTCGAGGGCGGGCGGCAGGAGGGGCAGCAGGAGGACGGCGAGGAAGAATACCCTGCCATCGCTCTGTCTCGAGCGTTCTGTTTTGCTCGGTGATCCAGGATGTTCCTCGATTGTCCTCGCCGAGAAAAATACACACGTCCGAGCGAGGCCAGGGGAATCGAGAGGAGGATGATGGGGAGGGGAGGAGGAGGGGGAGGGGGAGGAGGCAAGCTATGTGCGCTCGCGTCATATCTGACGTCCTACCCCTCCCTCCCATCCCTTACCATGGCGCTGATTTTCTCTATCCGCGGACGCGTGTCGTAGCGGACCTGTGGCTCCGCGCGCGCGTGCGTAGTGGGTGGTGGTGCGCGTGCGTGCGTGCGTGTGTGCGTGGTTGTGGTTGTGGTGGGTGGTGGTGTGGTGGTGGTGGTGGTGGGTGTGGTGGTGGTGTGGTGGTGGTGGTGGTGGTGGTGTGTGCGCGGTGGTGTGTGTGTGCGCGTGTGCGCGTGTGCTGTGGTGTGACGTGGTGTGGCGTCTTGGTGGTTGTGGTGGGCCAGGTGCGTGCGTGCGTGGCGGTGGGTGGTGTGGCGTGGTGGTGGTGGCGGTGGTGGTGTGGTGGTGTGTGTGTGCGTGTCTGCGTGCGTGCGTGCGTGCGTGCGTGCGTGCGTGCGTGCGTGCGTGCGTGCGTGCGTGTGTGTGTGTGTGTTTGTGTGTGTGTGTGTGCGTGTGTATGTGTGTGTGTGTGTGCGTGCGTGCGTGCGTGCGTGCGTGCGTGCGTGCGTGCGTGTGTGTGTGTGTGCGTGCGTGCGTGCGTGCGTGCGTGCGTGCGTGCGTGCGTGCGTGCGTGTCTGTGTGCGCGCGCGTGTGATGTGGTGTGACGCGGTGTAGCGTGGTGGTGGTGGGTGGGGTAGTGGGGTGGTGGTGGCGGTGCGCGGTGGTGGTGCGCGTGCATGCGTGCGTGCGTGCGCTGGTGGATGGAAGTGGCGGTGGGCGTGGCGGGGCGCGGTGCGGTGGTGTCGGGCGGATGGGCGCGCGAGAAAGAGGCCCGCGCTGGGGCGAGAACGCTATCCTGAACGACGGAGGCAAAACAACGATCTGAAAATGAGGCCCACGCTGCAGCGGGAGCACGATTCGGAACGAGCGGAAGCCCGAAAATGAGGCCGGCGCCTCAGCGAGAGCAACATTTTGAAAAACAACCCAAGCGAAAACCCAACTCCGGGAAATCCAGTGTGTAAAAAAACAGTACGCGGAGGGGTGCCCACCATCTTCCGCACGCCATCACGGGAAGGAGGAGAGTGTATTCATATGAAATAATTGTAGAAGAGGAAGGGGGGGAGGAGGAGGAGGAGGAGGAGGAGGAGGAGGAGGAGGAGGAGAAGGAGGAGGAGAAAGAAGGAGGAGGAGGAGCAGGAGCAGGAGGAGAGGAGGATGAGGAGGAGGAGGAGGAGGGAGGAGGAGGAGAGGAGGAGAGAGGAGGAGGGAGGAGGAGGAGGAGGAGGAGGAGAAGAGGAGGAGGAGGAGGAGGAGGAGCAGCAGGAGGAGCAGGAGGAGGAGAGAGCAGGAGGAGCAGGAGGGCAGGAGGAGCAGGAGGAGGAGGAGGAGGAGGAGGAGAGGAGGGAGGAGGAGGAGGGAGCAAGAGGAGGAGGGGAGGAGAGGAGGAGGAGGAGGAAGAGGAGGAGGAGGACCAGGAGGGAAGAATCAACAGGGAAGACCTGCAAGACGAAGAATCGAACGAGGACCGACGACGGGGAGGAGCGGCCGGCCAGTCCGCACCCCGCGCTTCGCCCAGTCGGCCGCCTGCCCTCGAGGCCGCGGAGGACCCCCCTGGGCCTCCGGCTCGGCGGGGCGCAGGAGTGGCCCTGCAGGCAGCAGTGGCCCTTGCGTGCGCGGCGTCCGTTGGCGGCGCGCACGAGTCTCCTGGAGGTCTCCTAGAGGTCTCCAGAAGGTGTCCTTCTCCTCCTCCTCCTCCTCCTCCTCCTTCTCCTCCTCCTCCTCTTCCTCCTCATCCTCCTCCTCCAGAGGAGAGGATTCATGGATACCTCCCCTCAACGTCCCAGAGGTCTCCCCCCAGACCTCCGAGAGGCAGAGGTCTAGGCCTCCAGGGTGGGGTCAGAGTAGACGGGGCCCGAAGATCGCCAGGGGAAGGGGGGGAAGGCTTCGCAGAAGGAGGCTGTGTCTCAGAAGGCGCGGGCCGTGCATCTACAGATGCAGGGCCCGCGCCTTCTGAGAAGCAGGGGTGTTTCTAAGAAGCCCGCCCCCTCCCCCATTATCCCCCTCTGCGCCAGGCTGAGTCAGGGGGGGCCCCGATGCTCAACGAGGATCCCTGCGCTTCAGGCTTCGGGGCTGGTCCGCAGATGACGCGCCGTGCCCCCTGGACACAGCCTGAGGCATAATTGGGGTCTCTGGTGGACTACTTGGGGCACTGGAGCGCACTGCGCACGAGCAAAACGAGCAGCCGCGGGTCGCGACATCCTCCACTCTCCCGTTCCTCCAGCTGGACTCTGCAGAACATCCTGGTCTGCAAAACCCTGGGCTCCCCGGGGCCATGGTGGCCGGCACCAGGGCAAAACAAAAGCAAGGACGTGGCCAAAGCGGGTCGGGATCAATCGGGGATCTCTGAGACTCGGCGGTTCTGGAGGACGCATCAGGCGCCACGGCCTCTCCAGAGCGTTCTGGGGCGCTCTCAGAGCGTCCCCGAACGCTCTGGAGCACAAGAGCCACCCTCGCGAAAACGAGCACATCCTCGGAGCAGGGCGAGTTGAGACGACACCAGCTCAAAAAGAAGTTTGCCTGATGATTGACCAAATCGACTGATGAGAGACAACCGCCTTTGCAACACTGAATGCAGCATTATCGAAACAACGCAACAAAGTACAAGCAACTGAATGGAATATGGAGAATGCGACAGCGAATACAACTTGTCGAAACACTGTAACAAGGGCACAAGCATCTTTGAATTTTGTGCCCACCCCCACGGGCCGAATGCACCCATTATGGTGGGGTGTCTCTTGCCCGGGGACGCGCCTGCCTTAAGGGCTGCAGGCGCCCGTGGTCCGTTCCGTCTCCAGCGTGACGCGGGGCAGGCCGACGTTGACACGAACGACACCTTTCTTTGTTTCCGACGTAGGGAAAACACCACGTATAAAGCGCTCTGTGAGCTTCCTCTTGACACTGCGTCTGGCTTCAAGCACGGTAGCTGTATGTCCCAGAAGATGTCGAGCCAGGCTACTAAACCCTGACTATCTGGCCTTCACAAAAGGGAGGAAACGACTGCCCCCTCTTCCGTGACATCGTCGGCACCTGGCGGCTTGGCCGCAAGTGCCCCCTTTTTCCTTGAATGTCCGACCCCCCGCCCCCGTGACCAGAGCACTGAAAGGAGCACAGGGCGGCGGAGCCGACTTCGTATCCCGGTTCTCGGGCACCACAATCAGAGCGCACGTGCGAAGCCCCCTCTTTGGTAAAGCGACCACTGCTACTACTCTGGCTGATGGGAAAATGCTGCACCGCCGAAGACGAGCTCTTGGAGAGACTGTCGGTTGAGAACCAGAAGTTTGCCTGATGATTGACCAAATCGCTTGATGAGAGACAACCGCCTTTAAAACACTGAATGCAATATTATCGAAACATTGCAACAAAGTACAAGCAAGTGAATGGAATATGGAGAATGTGACAGCGAATACAACTTGTCGAAACACTGTAACAAGGGCACAAGCATCTTTGAATTATGTGCCCACCCCCGCGGGCCGAGTGCACCCATTATGGTGGGGTGTCTCTTGCCCGGGGACGCGCATGCCTTAAGGGCTGCAGGCACCCGTGGTCCGTTCCGTCTCCAGCGTGACGCGGGGCAGGCCGACGTTGACACGAACGACACCTTTGTTTCCGAAGTAGGGAAAACACCACGTGTAAAGCGCTCTGTGAGCTTCCTCTTGACACTGTGTCTGGCTTCAAGCACGGTAGCTGTATTTGCCAGAAGATGTCGAGCCAGGCTACTAAACCCTGACTATCTGGCCTTCACAAAAGGGAGGAAACGACTCAAAATCGGTCCCTGGGCCCCTCCTGGGGCCCAAACCCATACACTCCCCGAGCTGAGTCCAACCGTGGCGAATGGGGGGCTCTCCCGAAGGCCATCTACTACTATCGTTGTCTCAACTCGCCCTCCTCTGATCCGGGGTCGGGGACGCCCGAGCCCGGGTCAATGCAAACCTAGGTCAGCCAGGCGTTGCAAGACTCTGGCCGACCCCCGTTTGCACTGACCCCATCTCGAGGCTCCCGACAGGGATGCGTGTAGCGCAGGGATGCGTGCAGCACGGGGGACCCGGGTCCTGGACCCTGGGGCGTTCCCCCAGGGCGAGATCGTCATCCTGAACCCTGGACCCTTTCCTGACAGTCCCAAGGCCCATGGGGGGCCCCGAGCACCCGAATAAGACGAAGAACCTCAGGACCCGTGTCCCCGAGGACCCGTTCCCCCCGTGGTGGTGGATGCCCCGACAGTGGACACCCTAACAGTCCCATCATTGAACTTCAAACGCGTTCAACATGCAGAGAAAATGTTACAAGCATGGTGAACCCATGTTCCCTGTACATGTCCACAGCATGTTCAACACATGTTTTAGACATCTGGGAATGACTTGGCAGCATGCTTCCTCTCCATTGATCTGACTACCTACCAGACCACCCCAACCCAACCCGAAGACCCGAATCCCGGGTTGGGGGGGTAATTACGGGTTCCGCCCGTGTGTCTTCGATGTCCCCCGACCACCCCCCCCACTGGAAATGGAGGCCAAACTGAGGCCTTCGGGTTTCGGGTCGGGCGAAAGGGGGGGATAGCAAAGGGGGGGTTTGAGAATCAGCTCACGTAGCTGATTTTCCCGGCGCCTCCCGGCGCCGGAGGCGGCTATGTATCGAGGAATGGGCCCCTCGGTGGGGCCGAAACCAGCTGCATGCAGCAAATTTCGTAACCCCCCCTTTCCCAATCCCCCCCTTTCGTCCGGCCCGAGGGTTGGGGTGGCTTGCTGGGTGGTGATGATCGCCCTCCACACAGCCCCGACGGCGCCTCGAGGCCCCCGACGGAGCTGCCTGCTCGGCGCGCCGGCTGCGCCGCGCTCCGCGGCGGCGACCGGCGGGGCGCCCCGTCGGGCCGCCTGCGCTCCGCCCTCGGGGCGGCCTCGGGAGGCCCGACGCGCGGGCGCGGCGCGCACGCCCCTGCGGGGCGCGCGCCGCGCCGCTGCCCGCGGGGAGGTGCGCGCCGCCCGCCGGGGGCGCGCCGCGCCGCCGGCTCGTGGCCCACCACGCTGCGGCGCGGCGCGCTCGCCGCGTCCCAGCCGCGAGGCGGGGATTTCATCCACAGCCACCGCCTGGGCAACGGCGTCCCGGTGCCCCTGCGGGCGGTGGATGTGGATATGGATGGATATATATATATATATATATATATATATATATATATATGTATGTATGTATGTATGTATGTATGTATGTATGTATGTATGTATGTATGTATGTATGTATGTATGTATGTATGTATGTATGTATGTATGTATGTATGTCTATATATATACATACATACATACATATATATATATACATATATCTATATATGTTATATATATTGGCCCTCCCGGGGGCCCAAGCACATCCATATCCACCGCCTGCGAGGTCCCCGAGCATTGATCCTCCAGGCGGTGGTCCTGCATAGATTCCCGCCTCGGACCAGTCCCCAAGCGTCCACGTCACGAGCCTGTCCCAGCCCCCCGCGGAGCGGCGCGGAGCGGCGCGCGATCCGCCCGCACGGCAGGCATGGCGTGTCGCCGGGGCCGCCGCCGCGACGGAGGCCCTTCAGGGCCCTTTTCTGCACCCCCATTCGGGTCATCCCCCGTTACCACCTCCCCGAAGCGTTTGCTTCGCGTGTCGCGGCAGCGGCCCCAGCGACACGTGTTGCCCTGCGTGCGGATCGCGTGTCGCTCCGCTCCGCGGGGCGGGAGGCTGGGGGACAGGCTCGGGACGTGGACGCTTGGGGACTGGGACGCGGCAAGCGCGTCGCGCCCAAGCGTGGTGGCCCAGAACCGGCGGCGCGACAGGCCAAGCACCACATTCCGACCGCAGTCGGCTCTGGCCAGCCCTGGAGCGCCGAGGTCGAATCGATAGTCTCCCATCCGCTGCCCTGGGCTTGGGGCTCTCGTCCTGCCCGGCTGGGCATGGTGGGACAGCTCACCACCCCGCCTCGAACGAGCAGGTCGCCGCTGCTGGGGATGCCGTCCACGGGCAGCCGCGCCGAGCCCGTGCGACTCGCGAACCGTCGGACGACCCGCTGCGGGCGCCGCCGCCCCCGATCGATGGTGCTTCGGACATGCTGGTCACCGAGCCAGCTTGCGCCACTGGCTCGGTGCGCGGCTCACGTCTTCGAGGGAACGGGGACCTCGTTGAGCTGTGGCTTGCGGTGCAGCTCCCGCGCCCCTGCCGGGGACCTGCCCCGCCGCTGCCAGCGCCGTGCGCCTCGCCGGCCGCGCCGCCGCCCTCCGGAGGGCTTCACGCCCTTCACGCTCCCCCTGGGTGGGGGAGCTCGGGCACGGCGGGGGGCAACAGGGCCCTGGCCATCGCTCGGACGTCCACTTCCTGTGTGGTGTTTCTCGGTCTCGTGCGTGGCTTTTTCGCCACATGCTCAAGAATGCTCCTCGATGGTCCTCGCCAGAGGAAAAAAGTGCACACGTCCGAGCGGTGCCAGGAACATGGGCCCCGACGCCGCCCCACGAGCCGAGGGCTCGCCACGGCCGCCCGTCCGGGAAGAAGTCGCGGGGACCCGCGGGCCCCACGGCCTTGCCGTCTCCGAGGGCGGCCGCCGCCAGGGGATGCCACGCGCGCGACGGCACGTCGGCCGAGAAGGGTTGCGCAGCCTCCTCTGCGAGAGAGGTTGGCTTCGCGGCGGGGGATCCGCACGACCACACCCGCCCAGCGTACAGGCAAAGCTCGTGCATGGTAGAGCGGCGCCCTCCTGAACCCATGCTGGACGACGCGCGCCCGACCATCGACCAACAACTGCGACCTCGCGCTGGTGCGGCAATCCGTGGAGGTGACGAGGGAGGGGCGGATAGCATGAGCGAGTGGGAGAAGGAGGAGGGGCGAGCAGGGAGGAGGAGGAGGAGGAGGAGGCGGAGGAGGAGGAGGAGAAATGAGATAAACCCATGACGTATCAACGATGCTGCAATACACCCTCCTGCACAACTTCCCCTCCCCATACGTCCTTACAGAAATTATGTCGTTGAGCTGTTGAAGAATTGCAGAAAT